GGGTCGTCGCAGAATGCGAACATCTTTAGGCGAAGGTGTAGTCATTGCAAGCCGAACTTGACCAGAACGCTGCCAGAGTTGAAGCTTTGAATGCGGAGTGGATGGGGAAGTTAGCCGAGGTAGAGAGAAAAGTAGCCGAGTTGGAGAATGCTCGGGCGTCGGCTTTGGCAAGAGCGGCGGCGTTAGAGGACACTATCCGCGTCCTCCATTCTGAGCAGGAATCCGAGAGAGCCACAGCCACGCTGAGGCAGGCGCGGCTCGAGGAGCGCATTGGCGAGATTGATCGGGAGGCTTCGAGCCTAGGGGACCGGGTGGTGGCGCTCGAGGCTGAGAGAGCGTAGTTGTTGGTTGAAGTTGAATCCGCCTCTGCCTTCGTTCCTCGCCACTTGCAGGAGCTTTGGGTCCATGCCGTGGCCCAACGAGACATATACAAGGGTTTGTGGGAGGCGGCCAGTGTTTCTGCTATGACCCTGCGACACCGGAGGTTGGCGAAGATGCTGACGCTTAGGACGAGTTTCCTGAAGACGATGATGGGGAGGACGGCGGTGATGACACCGAGTGACAAGTTGCTGCAGCTTTTACAACAATCTTTTCTTTTTTTGTTCATTTTCGTTTCTCTTTTTTTTTAGGGCCAGTTTCGACCTTTTGTAAGGTGCGGCTGTTGTGTACGTATATGTAAATAAAACAGTTGCTTCATCTTTGTATATCTGTTGATTTCCTCTCCCTTCCCCTGCTTGTTATATCCTTTTTGTTTTGGCGCAGACATTCAGATTTTTTTTTTTGTGATGAGTCGCTGATTTTTTTTTCAGGGAGTTTGACCTTGACCGGATCGAATGGGGTCTCGTCGTGTGAGCCCGAATGAAGTTCCTTCGGTTCTTCACGTCCGCCGATTTGTCGCTTTGGGCAAGTCATCCTTGATTCAAACAGGGTTGAACTCGGTTCCGCCCTTTTGGATAAAGTCAGTTTCGACTTGAACATTCGAGTGGGATTAAGTTCAGACTTATCGACTCAGGCGTAGTCAACTTTTTTTGTGTGTACTCGAGTGGAGTCGAGCTTGGACTCGTAGTCTGGAGTGAGGTCCATTTCTGACTTTATTTGAACGAGTTCGAATGTGGAGTCTCCATTTTGGGCGAAGTTGACCTCTGACTTATACTTGGACGATTTCGAGCTTTTCCTTTTATTTGACGGTGGCCGGTGGCCGTAAAGGTATCGTTTCGAGCGAGGTCGGATCGTAACCTACTTGTTTCGACGATGGCCAGTTGCGGTAAAGGTGTTAATCCGAGCAAGATCGAATTGTAACCTATTTGACTCGACGATGGCCAATGGTCGTAAGGGTGTTATTCCGAGCAAGATTGAAATAGTAGGCCGTTGCAATTCGAACGAAATCGAATTCTTTTAGCGATGTCCGTTGGCCGTAGGGGTGTTATTTCGAGCAAGTGTCGGAATATTAACCCGTTATAATTCGAGCTAAGTTGAATTCTTCTTTCGGCGATGGCCGTTGGCCATAGGGGTGTTATTTCGAGCAAGTGTCGAAATGTTAACCCGTTATAATTCGAGCGAAGTCGAATTTTTCTTTTGGCGATGGCCGTTGGCCGTAGGGGTGTTATTTCGAGCAAGTGTCGAAATGTTAACCCTTTTATAATTCGAGTGAAGTCGAATTCTTCTTTTGGCGATGGCCTTTGGTCGTATGGGTGTTATTTCGAGCAAGTGTCGAAATGTTAACCCGTTATAATTCGAGCGAAGTCGAATTCTTCTTTTGGCGATGGCCGTTGGCCATAGTGGTGTTATTTGGAGCAAGTGTCGGAATATTAACCCGTTATAATTCGAGCGAAGTCGAATTCTTCTTTCGGCAATGGTCGTTGGCCGTAGGGGTGTTATTTCGAGCAAGTGTCGAAATGTTAACCCGTTATAATTCGAGCGAAGTCGAATTCTTCTTTTGGCGATGACCGTAGGGGTGTTATTTCGAGCAAGTGTCGAAATGTTAACCCGTTATAATTCGAGCGAAGTCGAATTCTTCTTTTGGCGATGGCCGTTGGCCGTAAGGTTGTTATTTCGAGTAAGTGTCGAAATGTAAACCCGTTGTGTCATTGTTATGTGTATTTTGGAGAACTTTACGCGTTGTCGTACTGTTTATGCATACATCGGGGTGAGCCCCGGTGTGCTCGACTTTGTTGTTTTTTTGGAGACTACCGGGCGTTCCCTGGGTGAGTCTCGGTTTGCTTAATTTTGCTTTTCATTGGAGAATACTGTGCGCTTCCTGGGTGAGTCCCAGTCTACTTAATATCGCTTCTATTGGAGAGTTACTTGTTTTTTTTTTGTTTATAGTTGCTATGTACCGAGCCACTTCTATTATTCGTGATATGCTGCGGTTTGGGGGGTTTTGCTTGGTCATTACTTGCGGAGCGGTATGCTACGGAACCATCTCGGGGTATTTTGGAGGCGGTGGTCCCTCGCTCGCTTGCCCATGCGAGCGCTCGCATTCCTGTCTAAACCATCAAAAGAGTTAAGATAAATCAAAATGAAATTTTCTATTACCTCGACTCAACAAGTTAGTGAAAGAAGAACGATGTTGTAGGGTTACTTGCTCCGCTTGGTGCTCGAATGGTGATTTTAGATTTGGCGGCCGTGTTCGGCTTCGTCGTTGACAGCGTCTGGGCTCCTCACAGATCGGCTTCACCTCACTTGCTGAAGCGTTGAAATCGACTTCCGGTCTGATCTCGTCCGATTTGCACAAACACCGAGGAAAACATGTCACACTTCGTTCATAGACCTTCCAGTGTGTGTGGGAATGTGAAAATAGGGCAGGATGTGCCCGCTTTTTGGAAAGACTGCTCAGCGGGTTGTTGTCCCTTCTCTAGGGATGGGAATACGGGTTAATATATAAGGTAGATACGTCAAATGGGGCTGTAGTCATGCCAGACAACCGTGATCCTTCTTTAAACGTGCATATGTCGTGCTAAACCCATCGTTTTAGGTGACACGTGGGTTTTGCACATGCATTGGTTATAACTTCTATTTTATGTAGCAGCCCGACCTAGATTAGTGCGGCCGTCTAGAAGGCCTACCTACCGCTCTTTCGGGTTGGTGTTAGTGTCGGGACGGTGAGGCCACGACATCCTGGTAGTGATATTTTGCTGGTTCTAAATCTAAAGGAAACTAAAAAATTTGGCTAAGAAATTCTTCACAGACGGCGCCGAATTGTTTAAGCAAAAAATCGTTAAACCCTTTAGTTAAATCAATCAACAGAGAGATAGAAGCTAAATCTTAGCCAAACATAATTAACTCTAGATCAAGATATATTGAGTATAAAAATTGGAGAAGAACAAACTGATTTAATATTTCTTAAGATGACCACCATACATCAAGTGAAATGGTAAGCTTACATCTATGACGGGCTCGCACTATAATCGAAAGAGCATAGAAGAAGAGACGAAAACTGTTGATAGCTAAGAAATCTACCCCCGTGTTTGGTNTGCATTTTAGCTGCAGCTTCATATTTTCAAGTCAGGCACCATTTTACACTGCTGCGCCGCGCCTTGCGGCGCCCCATGCGGCGCAGCAGTGCAATTTTCTCAGAGTAAACTTATTTCGTCCTCTTTTAACATCCAGACTTGGTACACGACTCCCGAACACGATCCCCGCTTAACGTATTGGGCTTTTACTCAGACTTCAAAGCTCCAAATTGATCAATTTAGCTCCAAATTAGCTTTTGAGCTCAGGATCACTTCCTGCAAGGCATAAAACACGTACTAAGTGCAATTCACTATCATTTGAGCTCAAACTCAATTAAAGTGGAGTAAATTAGAGTGTAATAAGCGACTAAAATACGCAATTATAGCCTATCATCA